CCAGATTGTTGGGTGTCCTTCAAACTATTTTCCAAAGCACCTGAAGGCCAAACAAGGGATAATGGATGGAAAATGATCAAGGAGAGATTCAACCTAGAAATAAAGAGAAATTTTCTGACAGTGAGAACAATCAACAATTGGAATAGCTTTCAAGGGGAGATTGGTCTGCCATTTGTCGGGGATGGTGTAGGGCAAGGGTCTTCAAACTTGGCAAGTTTAAGACTTGTGGACTTCAACTCCCAGAATTCCTGAGCTAACATGACTGGAGGAGGAATTCTGGGAGTTCACAAGTCTTAAAGCTGTCAAGTTTGAAGACCCTTGGTGTAGGGTCTCCTGCTTGGGTGTGGGGGTGGACTAGACAGCCTACAGGGTCCCTTCCAACTCTGTTAATCTATCTATCTAAAGGGATCACATACTATGTGACCTTCCCAAAAAATTGTAACCTGTCCTTTTGAATTGTGTTGGTGGAATAAACCATCTTGGAATTCTATGGTGTCTTCTAATCCCAGCAAAATCAGGATAATCCATCTGCATAGCTAAATGTCACTTTCATTGCTACAAATAATGTTCCTCTCTTTATTTGAAGGATAAACTTTTTTTTTGGGGGGGGGGGGGGGGAAATTAAGGAGTCCTGTGAGAGAAGTGAAAGAATAGCAAATGTCTCCTGTGGGTTGGGAACAGAACTTTGCATTACCTTGTCCCAATGTTTACAGAAATGCTGAAACTTTCCTTAATTTGTCATTCTCAAAAGCTACTCATGATTCTTACACAATGCTGTTTTAGAAATTAAACACTATCTACTATACAATTTCCCCCCAAAACGCCCCACCAAGGGTGGAGGGACACCACAAAAGTATCAGTCTCTTGGTGCTGCTCTCACCACCAGCCGTCAAAGAGATCCTGGCTGGGGAATTCTGGGACTGAAAATCTTGAGGACACACAGTGAGAAGAATGCTAGGACTCTGCATGTGGCTTTTCTATCATTTATCATGATAAAAATGCACAGAACACTCCCAAAATGATTTTTATAGAATTGTACAATTTCTGCAAAATTAAACATCCTGCAACTTCTGCTGCTGATGGCCAGATATCAAGCTAATATATCCCAATATTTTCTTTCCTCCTTCCCGTCTAATACGACATATTTGACTACAAAAAATCAGGCAAATTCTTTGTAGTCAAATTAAAGAGTCATTTTTCTCAGCTGGACTTACAATGGGACATTAGAAATGAAATTCAAGACTTCTTTACACTCATCACTGTGGGCCTCATGTGAATTTTCTTATGTGTGATAAGGGTGGAATGTTTTCTGAAACACTGTCTACATTCAGGGCACTTAAATGGTTTTTCCCCAGTGTGTATAAGCACATGATTTATAAGATTAGAACTAGTACTGAAACCTTTCCCACAGTCTGGACACTCGTATGGTTTCTCTCCTGAGTGAGTCCTCTGATGTATCACGAGCTGGGAACTCTGACTGAAATTTTTCCCACAATCAGGACATTCAAATGGTTTCTCTCCGGTGTGAGTTCTCTGGTGTGCAATGAGGTAGGATTTCTCACCGAAACTTTTTCCACAATCAGAACATTCAAAGGGTTTCTCTCCTGTGTGAGTCTTCTGGTGTTTCACTAGGTTGGAATTCTTACTGAAACTTTTACCACAATCAGGACATTCAAAGGGTTTCTCTCCTGTGTGAGTCCTCTGGTGTATCACCAGGTCATAACTCCGACTGAAACTTTTCCCACAATTAGAACAATCAAAGGGTTTCTCTCCTGTGTGAATCCTCTGGTGTGTCACCAGGTCATAATTCCGACTGAAACTTTTCCCACAATCAGGACATTCAAAGGGTTTCTCTCCTGTGTGAGTCCTCTGGTGTATCACAAGGCTGGAATTGTGACTGAAACTTTTCCCACAAATAGCACATTCAAAGGGTTTCTCTCCTGTGTGAGTCCTCTGGTGCTTCACCAGGCTGTAATTCTCACTGAAACTTTTTCCACAGATAGTACATTCAAAGGGTTTCTCTCCTGTGTGAGTCCTCTGGTGTATCACTAGGTTAGAATTGTGATTGAAACGCTTCCCACAGAAAGGACATTCAAACTGCTTCTTTCCTATGTGAATCCTCTGGTGTCTCACAAGGTGGCAATTCTGACTGAAACTATTCCCACAATCAGGACATTCAAAGGGTTTCTCTCCTGTGTGAATCCTCTGGTGTATCACAAGCTGGGAATTCTGATTGAAACTTTTTCTACAATCAGAACATTCAAACAGTTTTTTTCCTATGTGAGTCCTCTGATGTTTCACCAGGCTGAAATTCTCACTGAAACATTTCCCACAATCAGGACATTCAAAGGGTATCCCTTCTGTGTGAATCCTCTGATGGCTAAGGAGGTGGGAATTTCTAATGAAACTTTTTCCACAATGAGTACATTCAAAAGGTTTCTCTCCTGTGTGAGTCCTCTGGTGTATCACCAGGTTGGAATTTTGATTGAAACATTTTTCACAATCAGGACATTCAAAAGGTTTTTCTCCTGTATGAGTCCTCTTGTGTCTCACAAGGTGAGAATTTCTAATGAAACTTTTTCCACAATCAGTACATTTAAAAGGTTTCTCTCCTGTGTGAGTCCTTTTGTGTCTCACCAGGTTGGAATTTTGGCTGAAACTTTTTCCACAATCAGGACATTCAAAAGGTTTCTCTCCTGTGTGAGTCCTCTGGTGGTTCACCAGGCTGTAATTGTGACTGAAACTTTTCCCACAGATAGGGCATTCAAAGGGTTTCTCCCCTATGTGAGTTCTCTGTTGTCTCATGAGGTGGGAATTTCCAATTTGAAACTTTCATATAATCTGGACACAGATATAGGATGTGAGTCCTCTGATGTATCACCATGTTGCCATGCTCACTAAAGTATTTTCTACATTGGGAACACTTTTGTGGATTTTATTCTGTGTGGATCTTCTCGTGCATAATCAGCTGTGGTTTGCAATCTGTGCTTTTCCCACAATAGGGGCATCTATGGAGCTTTTCCAACACTAACATTCTTGACAGCAAAAATATCTGTGATCCCCTTTTAGTGGAGTTTTGATTAAAGCCTTTTTTTATCTCCTAGAGCGAGGCCTGCATCACAATTTGCCCTATGTAGCTATCCAATTGACCCTTTCCTCCACACTAATTTCCAGATATTTCCCTCTTTTGCAGAATAAAAAATAATCTTCCTTGATTTTTCATGTAATGTATTCTCGAGTTATGCATAATCTACTTATTCCAGTTTGAAATATTTCTTAATTTTCTCTCTTTTGTCTAACAACCTCTGGCGGAGGAGGAGGAGAATTGTGTGAATGAAATGGAAAATATTTTTATTTCTAGCTTGATTTTCTTTCCTTTTCGAAGTTACTTGTTATTATTGGTTGCTCTTATTGTCAGCATGCTCTTATTGTCAGCTTCTTTGCCTATAGGATTCAAAGAAAAGTATAATGTTCATTGTTTATGAAGTAGCTGTAGAAGATATGAAAAAAGAAAAAAATATTCGGTACAACAAAAAAGCAAACATGCCACAATGCTAAAATAACCTCTTAAATTAATCATGATTCATTTTACACATGAAAGATTACCCGGATCCAAGTTCAAATATCCATTCAATCATGAAATTCCCTAGTTAATTTGGGTCAATCACAAATTCTTAGCACTGCAAAGGCTTATCACCAAATATATCTGAAAATGCTCAGTATAGATTATTCTAATTGCAGACATATGCTCACAAAGAGAAATACAGATACAGACACCTACAAATATATAAAAGTCAAAAATCCATGTCTTTCAAGCCTGAAAAAATATTCCAAAATGGTTAGTTAAACCTGAGATAATTTTAGAAACGTGGGGTTTTAATTGATGAAATGAGGTCTCTGCCAGATTTGAAGCACCCATTTTGCTCATGGAAGTCCTCGGCTCCAAATATGGGCAGAAAATACTGTCTACAACTCCTCTGGTGACATCCCAATTCAAGCAGTCCTCACTTATTGACCACAATTGGGACTGGTATCTGGACACTAAGCAGTCCGATCATAAGCATGTTGTCACATGAGACTGCCAACTTATATCTGTGCAGTTGTTAAATCACTGCGGGTTGTTAAAGGCAGTTTCACATGACGTTACGCCCTTTTCAGAAAATCTAAATAGGCTATACTGAATTACCTTTGGCGGGGAGGATGAAATATTTGTACATCATTGTGGATCATTTGACTAGATGGGTGGAAGCATTCCCTTATGTAAACGCAAATAAATGTCTTCCCTTGGCATTGCTGAGAATACAAACTCAACCTAGAAAAGATGTGGGAATATCACCATTTGAAATGTTGTTTGGGGTACCATATATGGGGAGGGAGGGTTTTACCAAGAATTGAATTAAAAGACAAAATGGTTAGAAAATAAGTACAAGAACTGTCCAGGTGTTTTTCTCTTTTGCGACAGAAAGGCATTCTTGCATGAACATTCTTGGCTGAGGAATTCTGGGAGTTGAAGTCTACAAGTCTTACAGTTGCCAAGTTTGGGGACCCCTGGTTTAGCTTATAGTATTGTTTAAAATAATAAGGGGAAGTTGGGAGGGCTTTGTGTAGGGGGTATAAATGTATAGCTTGAATATGGGATTTTGTGCTTCATGATCTCAATCCACTTTGGGAAGGGACGCGAAGGCCTGCCTTTGCAAACACATTTTTAATCTTTGTACATCAGAATTGTCTGTCGAATTTGTGAGTATAAATTTTGGAACATTTTAAATC